TACCATTCCAGTGGTTGCTTCATTCAGATTTTCACAAGACTACTAAAATGAAACTAATTCTCATTCAAAATAATTTTCCTTTAATTTCATGGGATAAAATTAGTAAAGACTCTTCTTACAGTGTTTGGTAGGTAATATATAATTCAGTGAAAGAAATTCACAACATTTACTATTTGGCAAGAAATCTTTATGACACTAAGTGATCTTTGGACAGAGATTAAAATGGTCCATAAAGTGAAAATCTAAGTATTATAAGAAACTAGTGAACCACGGACCTTTTGCCCACATTTGAAGGGCTTCTATAATGCAAATGTAATGCTTGAACTACTATTTTGCATTTTTTTCAGTTTAACGATCATTGCTGCTATAATGCAAGTTTGATTTCCTTAACTGAGTTATGAACAGTAATTAGTAGGCCTACTTATTGATGTGCTTTAATGTAAATCAATGCCAAATTTGGAGTCCACTTTTAGGGAATTCCCATAAAAAATTCCATTTAAAAGTAGGTGTGGCCAGAGGTTTAGGAGGAGTAACATGACAGACACACACAGACATTGAATATTATTATGTAGATATTAAGTTTGTGGTAACATGAAAAATCTTTAAGTATATAAGTTTCTAAAATTTTTTGTATTCAATCATCACTGTGAAAACTAAGAAAATAATTTTATAAATAAAAGACCTCATAAGCTTTTAACCAAGTAGTCTATTGGTACGTACAGAAGTTTAGAAAGAAAATATTAAAATAATTAATATCTTCACATTTTACTATACAGACCGAAAGAAACTGTAGAAAAATGTGTGCTGAGAAATCAGTAAACCAAACAATTTTAAGCTTACATTTTGCTTACACTTAGGCAGTGTTTAAGTAATGTGTAACGAAAACTTGTCTTTTGTTTTCCTTTTCAGTGCTTTCTATCTAGCTAGAACTAGTACTAAGTAGGAGTCCTTAATGTGTAAATATATAATTTCATGGTATTATGCATTGTTATACTGTTATTAGTCTGTATTTAGTAATTTCTGACAGATTCAGTTACATGAATAAGTTATTCAGCAATAACCATTTTTTAAAGCAAATGAATATCAACTTGCCATAAAATGATAAAAACCCTAAGATTTGAAGGTAAACCTATATATTTTTACCAAAAAAGATCACCACAAACTTTTCAATATAGTAATCATAATATTACCATAATTATCCAGTGTATATCTATAGAAATAAGACTTTTGCAGTATTTTTTATATGCTGGAATAATTGAGAATTCATTATCAGAACTTACATGAGAAATATGTCATTACACACTAAGTAATTGGTTTCTTCATGGAAATTTTATAGAAAGCTATGGAAATTCACATTTATTATTAGTTAAATATTAATTTTGCTCTATATTTTTGGAAAAACAAAACTTAAACTATTTTTGCATTGGCCCACTTTAATGGTGTGATTTTGCTTAGAAATATATTTTTATACGTCTCATTTGTATCTGTCACAGCTAAATATCACTGTTAGTGTAATTAATATTATTGTTAGTATTTTGTGGAAAACCTTTATCAGCTTCATTATGAATTGTAAAATACTAACAGTAATGAAGTTAACTTTAGAAAGACTACTTACACCTCTGCACCACTAAAAGCTATTATCTTGCATGCAACTGGCATGGAATTTGCTGAGCAGGCCACAAGTCTTGAACAAACTACCACCCGTACACGTGTTCATGTATATTATTCCAGTGTATAATATAATTGTCCTAATACTGTAACCCTCCACCAACAGGAAAATTACTGAACCTCCATGCTCAGTAATCCCACAAAGCACTGATACATGATTATAGACTCGCTCTTTTCTCAGCACTGCCTGTGTTCAGACATGATTTTACTTGCACCTTTTGAGCTTCCAGTCACTTTTATTGACTACCTTCATTTCTTTAGTGTTATATTACTTTTGTCCTTTGCATTTTTGTATTGTATGCTTGTATCTGCTGATGTTAATATAATGATAAAAATAAAAATATGCTCATGGATTCCCAACTTATCATGAATTCTCAAATCCACATTGGTTCTATGTCTTGAGGCCCAGATGTTCCTCTTGAGAAATCCTGTACACCTGTATCAATGGCAACTGAAGGTACATTATGTGTTCATGATGTTACTGCTATCATGCAGTTGGTTCCTTTCTGCCTACTCCTTCTCTGGGTCAGGTTCCTCATAATTCTGTTTCCTTGTCTGCCTTGTCTGTGGATGATTTTGACCACCCTCTGTCCACCTGCCTTCTCTTCCAGTTCTCTCCCTGATGAGGAACAGGTACCTCCTCCTCTGTTTGCTACTCTCATAAGTCAGGTATATGACACTCTGCTACTGAACCATGATGACTCTTAAATTCCTTTATTTCATGAGCCTCCATCATCTGACTTTTTCAATTTCCCCCATCCACCAACATTCCTGTCCACACTGATTCTTTTCTATCCCAACATCTCATTTCTCATTTTTTTTTCCACATTTTTCTTGTCTTCCACTCCTCCCCCTCAACTTGTCTTGCATCTCCACACCAGAGCCTCTCTCTCTACAGTTGGGGAGGTTCGTGGCACCACCACTTTCTGGTGTTAGATCTCTACAATTCAACTTTCTGGAGATTTCTGCAGCTTATTGGATTTTCCAACTTCTTTGGTCATGTTTGTCAGGTCAACTTGTGATGATCCACTCAGACAGATCTACGGTCATTTCTTATATCAACTACTAGAAAGTCAACCACTCCAAGGACCTATACTTTTTCACCCTAGAATTCCTTTCTTGGGCTGACAATCATCACATTCACCTAGGTTGTCCTCCTGTTCCTTATATCATTTATCCCTGTAAACATATTTTGTCTTTCCACTTGTTTGTGGTTGTTGTCATTCTGACATTTACACCTTAAGTGCCTCCTGTACTCTATATTATAGGGACTGATTAATGATGTTCCCTGACTGCTCCTTTCTTCCTACTACATGGGCTGTCCAGGTGTGTGATCAGATGTTTTCTTCCTTCTCTCTCCTTTATATTTCTTCATTGTACAATTGTTCTGATACTAGTCATCTTTTACTTCCTATTCAGGTTATCCAATTCAACTTTGCACAGACTGCCTTGTTTTTGTAGTAACTGCCATCGCCTGTTTTACTATGACGTATCTCCTTCTCTTAGGACATTTCCCATTCATTGGTTGGATTCATCAGCTCATCTGTCTAGCTTATTCTTCTTTGTGTGAGTTTCACCATACCCTTTTTAATGTCACTTCCCAACAAATTCAACATACTTCATGCTCTCTTGCCTCCTTTCATTGCCTTTAGACTAGTATGTGGACTACATCAAACACATTACTAACATCATTGGGTAATTTCTTCTGCCTCTGGGTTTCACCTCCCTCCAGTCACCATTCTATTGTCTACCCAGAGGATCTAGTGTAGTGAATTTGTCTGTTTTATCTTATTCTGCTCCATCACTGATCTTGTACAATCTTCATGTCTCTGACACTTTCCAGGACAACACCATGTACGTACTTAACACTGGAACAATAGAAAAAGAAAAAAACTACATTACATGTGGAACTAACAATCTCTTCATTATGTTTGGTGTCATTAGATCCTGCCATGTACCAGCATTACATCATAGAGAATATTACCCAAAATCCACATTGAGCAGGAAAAAAGGGCACTGTTAATCCCACCCACCCCTGCTCAGTGCCTACTGTAGAAACAGGTTTTCTGCAAGACTGCTTTGGTGGTACATCTGTCTAGATGACTTGATCATTTCTATGCCTTTTAACGAAAAAAAAAATAAAAAAAAGAGAAACAGCACCAGATGTAGTAGTTCTGTCTTCACAACTCACTGGCACTTGCTGTCTTTAGTCATGGTAATCCATTGCATTCTCCATTTTCCATACACACTCTCAGGTGTTCTCCCCTATTTGTATTCCCCTTTTCTTTTCTTCTGGTAGAGCATGAGAGAACCCTTACTTCCCCAATCCCAAGCTCCACTTGAAAAGACTACATGGAAAGTTTCCTCTGCAAGTGGTGCCTTCCATCTGGTAAGAGACTGATTGAGCACACCCCTCAGTTGAGATGGGAGTGTTAACTGGAAATGTAGTACAAGACACCCCATTACAATATCTTCCAAGTACTTCCAGCTGGATGGAACTTCATGACATAGGTGAGGGATTCTCCTCCCTTCATCCTGTCACTATAGTATGTATCTTGAGTATGTATTTGACCAAGACAGAATGACCTAAAAGACTTAGCCACACTACAGATTCTAATTTTATGTTCACCTTGGTGACATGTAACCACCAACACTAGATTTTCTCTGTAATCACAGTACTATAACAAAAGAAAAACTGTTGGGTGGAGAGTATTCCTTACTTGAAACAGATGCAGTCTTCCACCAGTTGCTGCTCCATTAGGTGATCAGTGGTCTCATGGAAGTCACACCTCATAGGCTTTTCCTTTTTGTTGCAGTTTCAGAAAGGATCTCATCTTTATAATTGATCAGAACTAGCCCTTCCACCATCTTTAGTGTGTGATTTAGCTCTTAATGATGAAGAGAGGTAAACATCATTCTTAACAAAAAATGTATATCATATAAATACCTACCTCTCTACACCACCTTCCCACGCTTCTTCCCCACTTCTGGTGCATTTTTTTGCCTAATCAAGAACGAGTCTATGATGATGTGCTAGTGCTCATGGGGATTACTATGCATGGAAGATTTATTACCCTTCTATTAGTTGAGGACTACAGCATTATGGTGATTACATCATGGGCTGGCACAATACAAGTGACCACATATGGGGGTGGAAATTTATTTAAGGCTTGTGGCATGTGAAGGAAATTTCTCAGCAGTTAAATACAGGGTAATAGCTCTTAGTGGTGCAGAGAGATAAGTATCTATCTTAAATACATTTTCAGGTAAGAAAAATGTTAACATTTTTAAAATTGTTAAAACTTTAGATTTACAATTTTTATTTCTTGTAGCCAGTATTATCAAACATTGCCAATAACAAAACAAAAATGAAAATTGGGCGAGAAAAATGTAAAGAATTTGGAAAGTGGTACATAGAATTTCGACGACAAAACGTGGGTAAGTGTTTGTTTGTCCAGTCACTTTCTAGACCTTTTTCTTCAAAACTTTTTTAAAAGGTGAATGAATTTATTTTTCATCCTACTCAAATAACTATTTCAAGAAGCTACTATTTCGATCTGTTAAGCATATCGACTTTTGATAGTGTGCTATTATCTTATATAATTCTGTTTGATTAGTGCATTTATCATACTTTCATTACACAAATGACTCTTTCATTGATCTGTTAATTCTCACATTTAATCTCATATAAAGCCACAAATGTTAAAAATGTTCAGAAGAGCATAAAACTATGGATTAAAAAATATGTTTTGTGCAGCCAAAAAATGAAAATACAGAGCTCTGCTGATTGTAAAAAGTGTGTAATTGTCCAGAAACAAAATACACAAAGACTAGAGAACAAAGCATATAAAGAAAATCAAGTTGAACATCAGCAACTTATTTGTGTAATTTGTTATGAAGCAGCTAATCATGCACATCCTAACATCAACAAAACTTTTGGAATGAGTAATCAAAATGGTTGTCAATGAATACTCAGAATCTGTTTAAAGGCTGGATAAATCAGTTAAATATAACTTTTGGTGGTAATCATAAGAGAAGAAGTGACTATGAAAGTTGGAAAAGATGAAGCATGGACAGTTCTTTCCAAAATATCCAAAAATGTATTTTAGGGCACTAAAAAATAAAACAACATAAAATCACTTTTAGATCAAGTGAGCTTTTCCTCCTTGGAACCATCAACTTGGGGTGCTGGCCATGGACCCTTCTAGGAGCCACCTAGGTCCATAGTCTCCTGGACAAATGTTCAGAGGATTCCACTTCTAAAACGTCACTTGTCTAATTACATGGTTTGGCTGCTTAAAAGAACAAACAATAGTAATGTAACTTATATTTTGTTCTTTGAACTTGATTATTTAATTACTGTTAATCACTACTAATATCATTCAATTTATTGACTTATAAGTAACTGAAGAATAAAATGTTTAAACTGATGTGTACTGTTGTTAACTAATTAAGTAGATCACTGACTGAAATAATTAATAAACAAAACTATTAAAATTTATCTGATATTAATTTGAAAACAGAATAACATATATGACTTAGTAAGAAAGCTTTATTTCTCAAACTAAAGAGATGATTAGTATGATGCAATTGAGAAACTCTCATTAGACTGATGTGAACAGGCTGAAAATTCTATTAATAATTCTGATACGATATTTCCTCTATTATTTATTCCATCAACTTGCTAAAGAAAAAAAAAAATAGGTCTCTCTTTATCAATTATTGGAATAATGGGATTTACTTATTTACTTAATCATCTTTGTGATGTGTAAGACTTCATTGGTTTCTGAAGTCAAATCTCATTGGTGAAGAGATGAATGGCCCTTGCAGCCTTGCCATGGCCCCTGTCTGCCAGTATTTTTCCAGATCCTTGCCAGGCCTTCACGGTACTGTGCCCTGACAAACTATTCCCTTCTCTGTCATTGCCCACCTCCCACAAATGAGAACACTAGGTTGGACTTGAGGAGACAACAAATTCAGTTCAGTGAAGTTGCAAGAATAAAAATTTCTACATTATTGTACCATGTTTTTTATGTTCATAAAATATGGTTTATTGTGCCTTTACATTTTTATGTTGCAGTGATACAACCAACCTTTATCTTTGCCAGGTGCTAGTGGATTCATTACAAAGGACACTCATCCTCATGATGGTCGAATGACATTTCATCCATCTAAAGAATTACCAGTTATGAGAGAATGGTATCAAGCATGCAGGAATCCATCACTGAGAACACTCCAAATGTATACTGACATCCTAAATGAAACAACGCTACGTCAACAAGAGAGGTAAAATTTGTTTTAGAACCCTCTGATAAGCAAAACCCATTGCTTAAGATATTTATTGTAAAATTTTTATTTCATATTTGCTTATCTGTAGCACAGGTAAGAGTTTTATTAGTTTAGGTTCATCTTCAGGATAGTTATTGTGTATTTGCATTTTTTCACACCTATTTCTCGTGGAGAAATGTAAGATTTGTCCATCTATTTCAAGTTCAGTACTGTAATTTTTGTATCAGCTCTAACTTGTAATACCTTTGTGACAGATACTGCAGCATTTGTTATTATAAAAAATTTTTGTTTCATCAGGAATACAACTGTTCTCAATATAAATTTGTCTTTGAAAGAGGTTCAGAAATACTTGTTAGTTCATTTTATCTTAGACAGTTATTGAAATAATTGTGTTATATTACACATTCTTATCTTATAAACAGATCTTAAATATTTGTCAGTGTACATTTATTTATTTTTTAAACTAGTTAAATTTTTCTGTGCTTGAAACTTTTTGAGATAAAAAAGACAGGTGACAGCTGTGAACCTGATTATCATCTTAACATATAAAGTATTTTTTTAGTTCAAGACTCTTCATAATTTTAAACATTTAACCCCTTAAAAAGTAGGTGGCATGATTAATGTTTTCAAAATTCTGTGTAATCTTTTCCTAAAGTCATTCACAAAATATCACTTAAATTCAGATCTAGTATTTTGTTTTGGTGTATAACTTATTAACAAATGACAGATGTACAGATTTAACTTTTATAAATAAGATATAGTGAAATAAGTACTATCTATTTATATCACTTTTTTTAATTGTATATAAAATACATTTAATTACAAAATTTTAACAAAGTATGCTAATGCATGGTGTCATTAGGCTTACGGTTGTATTTTCTCAAGTCCCCTAATATGCAAGAATGAAGACATCATGTGCTCTGTCTTATCATTTACTTAATTATTTTTTTTTTGTTCAACAGCTACATTAAACTCTGAGGTACACTGTAGAAACAAAAGAAAGGAGTAGCAATGGGTAGCAGAGCAGCAGTCACATTTTGGTAATATTCATGCATACACTAGAAACAAAAGATCTTGACACACACAGAAACAAAACAAGTTTAACTCCAGAAGTGTGATACAGATACATTGACAACATATTTGGTATATGGAATCTTGGAAGAGATGCACTACAACAGTTCTATCACTTCCTAAACAACTTCCACCCATCATTCAAGTTCACACTATAACTACCCAACACAGATGGAAACTTAGCCTTCTTAAACGTAACTCTGAAAGTCAAGACAAACAAATACAGCATTCCATGTATAACAGAAAATGTAAGAAGCTGATATTTCTCCATTATACATCACACCACTCTGATCAAATCAAAAGGGGAAAACAATACTAGGAAAACTAAAGAAAATAATTTGAAACTGTTCCATGCTTAATGGCATTTAAACAGCACAAAAATACTTTTAAAACACTAATACTACAAAATGAATACCTTGAGTATTACATCAGTAAAGTTTTCAAGTCACATTAAAACACATCAACAGACCTGTAAATGAAAAAAGACATACAAAACACCCCTATAATGAACGTTCTTTTCATAAGCAACACACTCACAACCAAAATTCATAAAATTATTAAACAATTGCAGCTGACAATCAACATGACACAAAAAACCAGACAAAACACTGAAAAAAAAAAATAGCTCACTCTTCATATTCAAAAACAAAATGTGACAGAAACAATGCTATGTCTAAGAAAACAGAGCTGGACAAAAATGCAATCAAATTGCATGCAATATATATATGAAGAGATGCATATAGAAGAAATTGGAAGAACTTCACACATTTGCATCTTGGAACGTATTAATGCATTATAAAAATATGAACAAAACAAAACCATCCCAACAGAATACTTTCTACACAAAAATAGAACCTCAAATATAGACAACGAAAATCCATTTACAGTTTATACTTTACAAAAAAACCAAAGATTTTAAAGAGAGGAAATATGTGAATGATATACTCACTAATGAAAAAATCCAAAAATAAACAGATACAGGATGATTCACATGATTAAACTCTCATTAACACACAAACCATACCCAGCACTCTTAATATTATAACATGTAGATCAAACTTGCATACACTAGCATGTTACACAGCCTTACAACCACTTTTCTCTATTAATATTCGACAGACCATTCTATATATTTGCATCATTAATAATAAAGTAAGTAACTCTAGTTTTTTTCTTATTTTAACACTTTTAGTAAATTTTGTATCCATTCAAATCAAAATATTTGTTCTCAACCACCCCAATTTGTATTTATTTTGTGGTGAAACATTTTGAAACTGTCTTTCATCTTATATTTCACTTAGGTAAGATATGTCAAAAGGTAGTATAATAATATAGTTAGTATCACAATAACAGTATCAGTATAATATGAGAACAATTGTAAAATAACAGTAGTATTATAAACATTGTTAAAAGAACGTTATAAAAGTCTTGAGAAGTAGAACACCAAAAACAGTTTAATAAGTTAACATATATTTTCACATCAAACAGTTCTTGTACTACTAGCCCTGATGAAGCTGCAATGGAGAAATATTGACTGTAATATAGTTTTTTTATAACTATTATTATTATTTGGAGAACAAAGATCTTTTGTGTTCCTAACTTTATCACCAAAATGGTATAAAACATATCACATTACTGAGTGTTTTATACAATATTTACCTGATTTTGATCACAATCTGTATTTTTCCCAGACAAGTCTTCTTTAAACTCATAAAACATTATACCTGTTATGTTATTTGGTTTCACAACAAACAGAAAATGAGACGACTTAAATTAAAGAGGTTAATATACCATCAAATCTAAGAATCCCTTTTTTTTTATTGTAGCTGTAGGATGTAACCATGTCGAGATTTAGAAAATGAAACTTGGGTGAACTTTCTTATAGTACTATATTCATAAATATTTCTTGATGGGGTTATTTTGGGTCCTTAGATCACCTTGTCTTTTACCAAAAACAAACTAATTGTGGTTTAGAAATGTTCAGTAGTTATAATACATTATATTTGTAGTTTCTGTTTCAGATGTAGTGTAACTTTTAAGTTATTAAATTTTATGAATGAAAATGCATAAGTGGTTGAAATGATGCCACCAGATTCAAAAAAGTTAAATATATTGAAAGTTTTTGGCTTCAGCGTGGCCATGGATTATTGTGAAGTATTGTCTAAAATATAGATAAGCTGTTGGTCATTATATATTGAAAGATTTGGGCTTCAGCATGGCCATGGATTAATGTGAAGTATTGTCTAAAATATAGATAAGCTGTTGGTCATTATATATTGAAAGTTTTGGGCTTCAGCATGGCCATGGATTATTGTGAAGTATTGTCTAAAATATAGATAAGCTGTTGGTCATTATAAAAGGTAAATAAAGCTTTTTATTTTGTTTTTGTCATCAGAAATATTGGCACAAAAGCAAATTGAGCAGACAAGTAATATGTGTTTCAGTAAAAACTTTAGTTTCATCAATTTTGGAAACTAATTTTGTAAAGTTAGAACTTGTTTGCTCATTCTGTTACAGTTATTTTTTTATGTTTCCATTATTAACATCTATGGAGGATATTTTATGCCAAAATTAAAGATTAACTAATATATTGAGAGAAATAAAGACAAATATATTTATTTATACTTGTATTGCCACATTTATTTCAATATTTATTTATTTATTTCTATATTACTCATTTGCTTTTTATATTTCAATACTCCAAGAATAGCTGTCTCAATCAAAGCTAGAGGGCTGTACGATTTCCACTCTTAGTTATTTATCAATAACTGATTGGAAATCGACTGTTACTAAATGAAAGAATGTGATAGTTTAAAAATGTTGGCATTCGTGAAATCATTACAGTTTTGTAGGTTACGAAATAATGTGATTTTGCACACTTTTCCTTATGGCTTGAAAATTGTAAATTATTCTTAGATCTGTGTTACGAGTTTTCCAAAAATATCATCCTACCAAGTAAATCTGAATACTGTAGTGTATAAAGCTATAAGACCCTGTTGGTTTAACGTTTGCCACCAAAAAAATTAATCTTGTTTCAGAGCATTACTTATTAAGATTTAAAATGTAAGTGGTTTATTGAAATGTATTTATTATGTGTAGAAATGTCAATTTATTACTTGAACAACATTTTCTTTATTTGTGATAAAATAAAATATGAAAGATACAGGTAATTAAATATTTTTATTTAAAGTGTTGACTTTGATTTTCAGACCAAAGGTAACAGTGACGTGTTTGAAAAACTGGTGGAAAAATGAAAGACAAAGAGAGCGTAAACGAAATGGAGTCAAGTGTCATACACGGACTAAACATGTGAAGAATCCAGATGTTAGAAGACAAGAAATTATTCAACCTCGTCCAATGATGATGATAGAACCAAGGTTTCAAGTTCTTGAAGTTCGAAGTAATTTAAACTTTAACCCAACTTGATTTGTAGATAGTATTTTTTGTACTCTAGTAAAGCTAGGTCATTGGAGAAATGCTTTGTATGTCTTCAACATATTCTAGGGTTCTCATTTTTCAGGAAACCACTAACTATGAAGAAGAGCTCAGCTTTTAAGCATAGTCATTGTAGAAGAATGTTTTGTAACATTATGTGAAATAGCCATGTTGTTAGGGTTTCCAAATTTCTTAACACATTTTTACGAAAAACCTTTACCTCTCATTTTAATCAGTAAAACATGTAAACAACCAGCATATAATTATCATCATTTTAATAGGTAAAACATGTAAACAACCAGCATGTAATTATCATTCATAGTTAACACCTAGTTTCTCCAATCAGCTGCTATTTAAAAAGTAATTTTAATGAAGCCTTTGTTAAGTGTACAGAACTATCACTATCACTGTATATACATATTCAATGTATGATGTCATTGGCCATGGTTATTTCTTTAAATTAGTTAAACTAATATATTAGCTGACTTTGAAGATACTTTTAGTGATGTCATATGTTAACAGATTCCTGCTATGCCCACACAGCTGTAGGTCATGATGACAACTAAATGATAAAATGGCAAATTTGCACATTCTGATTTAATGTTGGTTTCAGTATGCAAATGACTAGAAGTTTTAGAATGTGTAATTAAAATTCTCCCTATATTTGTAAAGTAATATGATATATATTTATCTTTAATTAACATTGTAAAACTGTATTAACCTAACTTCTGTCTTAAAAATACTTCTCATTTGCATTTGAGAACATAATTGTCTTGTTGATCATAAAATAAATTGCACCCAAATATGTTATACTAAAGTTACAGGATTTAACAGTGTTCCTCTGAAAATTACTTACAATCAGGGATTTTAAGATTCTGGGAAAGTTGAATTTGTTTTATGAAGAAATTGAGAATGTTACATAAAAAAAATAGTATCTACTGACTTTTAAAATAGCATTGTTCCATCTCAGTCTGATACAATCATCATGTCTCTAGAAGTTAGATGTAATGTTACCATAAAATAAATTACATCAATTGTATTTTATTTAATCCTTTCCAGCCTGGTGGCAGTATGTTGCCTTTTTTTTTTGCATTTGGAATAATAAACATAAATATCTTATAAACTTTACCACATCTGAAACATGGACACTTCAAATATAAAATATGATAATCATTGAATATTTTTGAATCTATATTAGACTTTTTTTTGGTAAATTTGCAATTTATAATGAATTAAAAACCACTGCTTGATATGGCTTTGTACTATGCCATTGTTCAGTATTGCCCATAACCATTGGCTTAAATGTCAAGTTTTACATGCTTATTAACAGTAATGTCCCCCAGTGGCACAGCGGTATGTCTGCAGACTTACAATGCTAGAAACCTGGTTTCAATACCTATGGTGGGCAGAGCACAGATAGCACTTGTGTAGCTTTTGCATAACTAAAAACAAACAAACAAATTAGCAGTAATATAGTCATTATATCATGCACTAACCCATTTTGTTGGAAGTTTTGTGATAAAATAGGTATCAGTAAATGTAATGTGAATATGTACTATTTACTCTATTATATCTTAGTTATAAAAGTTATACCTGTAATCCTTTTTATTTACAATAGTAAATTGGCTCCTCCCCCCAAGCTAATCTCTAAGCTCATGTAAGGTGAAATCCACTGCAATACTTCACTGTTTCAAATTACCAGTGGAAGTGTTTATAAAGTGTGAAGCAACTACCAAAGCAATTACTTCATTACCTGTAGGTTATATACAAAATAGTGATACCATTAGAGTATGTGAAAGCATGTGATCATGAAGGGTTCTTTGTAAATAACTAGAAGTTTAAAACCCATATAAGGAAAAACAAAGATCTATGGCAAATAGGTTGTAAAAAGTAAAACAGTCGTACTTTTAGACTATTTGTGATTCATTAGCCTTAGAAGTTTGAAAGTCAGTAAACAAAAATTACAGTCAATTTAATTTTACAGTTTTTGACCCTACCAACTTCAAAAATGTTCATTGTTTTCAAACTGTTATAGTTAAATATAAGCAACAAACATGTACGAATACCACAGATTTGCAGATATGTTTTGTACATTGACAAATTTTAATCTTTGCAGCTAGGATGTTTTAACATACTTTACTACTCAATTAAAAATTACTACAGTTGGGAGACAGAAGTCGAAATTATGGTCAAGACCTTAGATTTTTATTACTTTATCCAAAACAAATGTTAATGAAACTTATATCACAACAAAATTCTAAATATGAACATTTCAGTTAGTTTTATTTTGTAGCTGATTTGAGGGAAGAGATCAAATAAAATTTTTAAAACTTAATGATGTCATTTGCCATTTTAAAAAGCATGAGATACTGGACTAGAAAGGGTAAATTAAAATTCTGTTTATGTTCATAAAGTAATAATATCAGAACGTTTTTAGACAGTTATATAGTATATTCCGAAAAGTTCATTTGAGTTAAATTTATAAAGCAGATTTGAGTTTAAAACAGTTTTTCAGCTTTAAAAAATAAATGAGCACTTTAAATGGCCTTCTAAAATTCCTAAAATTTTGTTTATTAGTAATACCTTCTATTTCATTTAGCATCAATAGACTTTAACCAAAATAATTTCTTGCAGTATTGTATGACAGCCATTGAAGTATGTAAACTTTTTGTTTTGTTAGTGGAAGACTTATCAGAAACGTTGGATTGTTCTTGTAATTATTGCTTCCAGAGAGACAGTAAGAATTTTCAGAGGAAAGTTTTATTAAACTATCAGAAAAGGCAAATTTACAATAAGTAAAATGGAGAGATGCTTGAAGACTAATAGTTATATTTTATGTATAAAATATATAACTTCTCAGTAACATTTAGTTGTTATGATAGAAATTTCATAAAGTGTACCATATATTTTGGTTCTATATTGTTCTAGTTTTCCAACTTATAATTGTTATAATACTTTTGTTAGGACTGATTTATGGGTTATTACAATAGTAATATAGCTAGAGAGAGTTAAGCATTGCTTTTAACTTATGTGAGTGTTGTTTCAAAAAATTCCCATTTAAATTCATAACATTTTCATTACCACTAAGTTTCTTCATGATGTGTGAACTATTTTTTGTTTGTTTTATGATAGCATTATCATGAAATAAGATTTTATCGATGTTCAAGCTTGTCCCGGTGGATTCTACAGTTTCTATCTCATTATCAGCAAAAAAATAAATGGTGGGGGATGACAGTCAAATCCTAATGTTCAGTCTGATAAGAGCAGCATGAGAGTTGTCAGTGATTGGTGTTGACTAGTTGCTTTCCACTCTAGAGTGTCAGTTCAAGATTAAGGATAGCTAATGCAGATAGTCCTAGTGTAACTTCATACAACATTCAGCAAAACAAACAAATTTCAGCCTTTCAATATGTTTCACCTTAATATATAGCATCATGATTATAAAAAAAGTTCAGCATTTAAATCTGATTTGAATCAGCATAATACCATAATTAGTGGAAAATTTTAGCCTTAAAACCCAGTCTCATTTTATGAGACCACTAGGAAATTTTAATCTTAAATCCTGTTTGGGCTGCATAGCACTAGAGAAAATATCAGTTTTCAAATCTTTGTTAAACATAATACATGTACCATGATTGAACATAATTTTGATTAGTCAGAATAAAAACATTACTTTCCCTTTATTATATTGGTTAATAATTATAGACAAAAATTGTTTATATAACCAAATAGATATTTGTATTAATGATAATCATCTTAGTTTCACTTTTTTTGTACCTAAATCTTTTCTTGAAGTCTTATCATTTTATTTGTTTTAGATCAAAGTCAGTCAGTGAAACCAACTGACTGTCTGTAATAAAATAAATATATTATCAGGATATAGTAAAAATGACTTTGTACAGTTTTGAAGTTTAATTTCCCTATTTCTAGTTATTGTTGGAGAAATGGCATAAGAGCAGAAAACATTATTTCACAGGTTTAACGTTACAGATTGTATGAGTGTTTTCAAGCTTTAGTGTTTGTTTGTAGGGTCTAAATGGCACTTCTGCTAGAAAATTAACCCTTTAAACATGACTGTACATCTTATTCCAACAACTAACAGTCTTTTACTCTAAATGGGAAATAAAATTGTCTTTTGTCTCAAAGTATGTAAGATGTATTTTGTAATTGGTTGTGTCACAATTTCAAATACTGTTCTTTATATTATAATGCGCCCCAGTGGCACAGCGGTATGTCTGCGGACTTATAATGCTAGAATCCGGGTTTCGATACCTTGATGGGCAGAGCACAGATAGCCCATTGTTTTAGCTTTGTGCTTAATTGCAAACAAACTTTATATTATACATTAGAGTAGGTTCATGGGATGCAAGAAGTTTTCATCATTTTATTTATTTTCACAGTTCGGTATTTTCATAACTGTAAAAGTGTGGTTTTAGAAAAATATAAGTAATTTAGTGGAATTAACAGTTGGTAAAATAAAAATTTGTTTGTTTAAAAACTTGCTTGAGAATGAATTTATTTAAATCAGATTTATCAGTAGCAATAAGAGACAAAAATGTTTAGTAAGCTGTTTTTCTTTTGTGCTCAATGTAAAATGTCATGTGTATACAGTTTTAACAATGTTTCACTGTAATGCGAATATCAACTTGTATTTCATTATAATAATATTGTATGATAAATAGTAATGATTCAAGCAACAGTTTTCAAATACTAAGATGGTGCTAAGGTGTGCCAGGGAAGGCATGAGCCTCATGTCTGTCTTTTTTTTTTAAAAGAAAGGGTTGCTGATTTTAAAAAACAATATCTAAACTTTTATTTATCTTGCCAGGTAATATTCTTTATCAACCATGACATGTCAGACTTATATTACATGGTTTTTCACATGCAGTCTCTCAATTCATAAATTGTAGGGAATCACAGGTATTTTTCATTTTTTCTTGGCTTAGTAAAGCTCACTATGATAAACTGTGAGAACCACTAATTTAAAATTTATGAAATACCTGGTCCTGAACCTGTCCTTTACTTTAAGTTTACTAAATGAATTTTTAGGAAATTTATTCCTTAAACCTGGGTGGACACTACCAGTGTCTGGCGAAAAATCCTGATTTAGCCTTTGGACAGTGACAGCATCCAATAACACTTATGTGTCTTTGGCTGAAAACTAACCCATTCCTAAAACCCAAGCAGACAGTGACAGCAGCCGATAACACTTTTGTCTCTTTAGCTGAAAACTAACCCAAACCATGTTATTATCCTTAAAATTAAGAAAATTGAAACTTTATAAGGTATAGTGATAATTATTAGGAAATCATTAAATTATTTTGGCAGAATGCTCAAAATTACTGGTAAAAAGAGTTAATGCTATTCAGTAACCATTCAGCTTCTCTTTTTTTCCTAAGAGAATATTACTTTTCATTTTATCTGAGTGGTTTTATCAGGACATTCTGTGAAAAATATGTTTACAATTTTGAAGCAAAGTGTTTTAAGTGATCTTTACATTTATTAAAAGAAACATTAAATACAAATTTTTTATCTTTTCTGAAGTAGCTTTGATTTGTAATGTAATTTCATGTATGAACTAACTGATTAGGATGTTTTAAATGCTTAAAATACTGTGCAACTTATTTGCTTACTACTTTATTGTTAAATTAGCTCACAGGCAGACACACACTCTTAGAGAAAGGAAGTGATAAAGTGTAAACAAAGTGATGTCATAATCATACTGGAAGCAAACTGGACACAAAAATCACCAATGCTATAGAAGATGAAAAATTTGTTGGTAATGCATTTTATTGCTAATTTTTATTACTTTTGATGAATTCATGAAAATTTCAAAAATGTTCATTAGATGCTTCATCAATTGTAACATAGAAAATGAACATTTTCCAGCTTCTGTTAATTGTCACAAATTTGCTCACGAAGTACGACTTGTAGTTTATTGTTCATTAAGGTAAAAGATAGATATACATGGTAAACCAGTTATGAAATATCTAGGAAGATTATTAGAAAAGATAGAAGACTAACTGAAGTTTTAACATACAGAAATTGGGATTTTTCATAGATTTTACATTTATCAAAATATTACTGGTTAAGTGTTTTTCTACCCATATTAATTCTAAAATATTTAACAAAAGTGAAAAGAAACCTTTACAAATCTGAGAGGAATCCATGTGATAAAATGTAGTATGCAAATACTGCACATGTTACTCTCATTTAATATATTTTTTCAAATCTACAAAAATTTTGAATTTTTCCAGGTTCTAATTTTTGAACATAGTCGATCTGGTTGAATCTTTAGCATAATTCAACTAGAGGTGTTACTAACTTTTTTGTAATTGAAATAGATATTGATATTTGTTCAATGAAGTTTTCACTCGTTGTCCATCTCGAACATAATAAGTTTATCATAGTTTGAGATGCAGTGGTGTTTTTAGCTGTTTGTTCAGCTTTGGTTTTAAGTTTTGAATTAGGAGTGCTTATTTTTCCTTAACGTCCATTCGTTCATTGCTGAGTCTATTATTTTGAAGTATTCTATGTTAAGGCTTCTCATTACAGCCTTTGCTTAGGTGGTTGTAAATTTCTGAGTTGTTGGAAGTGCTGTTTTGTGCATGCTCCTTAACTCTAGTAGCTAGGATTCGGGTGGTTGAACCAATGTAGCCATGCTTTCAGCATGGATGTACATATTGATACACCACCAGCAATGTTTTTTGTAAGAAGGAGGTATTTTGTCTTTAAAAAGGAAAAAAATACATATTTATTTGTTCAGTTTGAAGATCACTTTTAGGCTGACTTGGGGATAAGTTGATTGCAGAATGTTCTTGAGAACCAATGAAGGGTAACACCAAGGTGATATGATGTTTGGGAACGTTGAGGTTAGAATTTTGGGGTTGTAAACTTTATTAATATATTCAAAAAATAATTTTGTTGATGAATGCTAGAAGGAAGGCATTTTTAATAAAATATTTTTTACTATTGATAACTTCATCATGAAAATTACAAAAAGAGCTAGTAAGTTCATACATTATTTGAATTAGAATCCTTATTAAATTATTTTTTGTAACAATGAGGTATGAATATGCTAAAATACAGTACAGACCAAAAAATGTTGGTTTTTGGTAATATCTGATTTTAAATCTGTTGTTCTAGTTGATGACATCTAGATCTAAAAAAGGTAATTTATATTATTTTTGTTCTTCAACTGTAAACTTGATATTCCTGTGTTTAGAATTGAAATAATCTTGAAACTTTCTGACATCTCTGAATACAATAAAAGTGTTATCAACGTATTCTCTTATAAACTAAAGGTTTAAAGTCAGATGGACAGGACTGTAACCAATGGGATAGTTGTCTCTTTTTAGCTTGTGTAACGTCTTTAATTGGATTAGTTTACACTGTAATAAATTTTTAGCTTGACCTGTCAAGAAACACACCTGCTCTTTTTTGGGATAGTTGCATTTTGTGCTGCTTGACCTTGCATTTAGAGATCACATGAAGCAGAGATACTTTTGCATTTTGGTCCTCCTTTTTTTTTCTTTCTCTCTGATTGGTTGACTAAAAGAGAAGGCATAATGTAAGTGCAATTTGATGTCGTCAGTTGAGATTCATTTCAAACTTGAAAGTGTCGGTATGTACTCTAGAAGTCTCATCATTGTTTCTTCTCTTTTGTACTTGTTCTTACATTAACAGTCCATTCACCCAAATCTTTGAACGTCTGTTATCCAGGTGAAGTTTACCTGTGTATGACTTATTATTACTCTAAACCATGAATACCATAGAAACAGAGCTTAAATAGGGGGCATATATAGGAAGATTCTTTGAACTGGATTTTATTTTGTGTGTTGTATGGTCATTTGCAACAGCCAGAGATTTAAGAACCTGGTATGCATAAGAACATGAGTTGTGATTTGTTGAACTGAAGTGAAAGAGACAAGACATGGTGTTTAAGTCAAAAATTAAACACATCATTTTCTGAATAATTAAAGGACACAGATTATTATTAAAGTGGCATGAGTGTTGTGGAGTATTCGAGATTGAATAAATTAAATGGAGTGGACTGAGAGAGAAATGAAAATAACTTTTCATTGTAGATTATCTTAAAAAAAAAAGTGCTCACAGTCAGAAGGTAACGAAGCATTGAAACAATAATGAGACTTCCACAACATGTTCTGGCACTTTCAAGTTCGACACAAATCAACTTTGAAGGTGCCAAACTACATTTGCATTATATCTTCTCTTTTAGCTGACCAATCGGAAAAAGAAAAACTAGAATGCTGAAGTATCTCTACTCCACGTGACAGTCACATAGCTTTTCTTGGCACACAAGTTAAAGTAGGATACAAAGTAACTATCCCATGAAATAGTAGATACGTTGCTTATCACATATGGCTGAATTTAATACATGACTTCAACCAGAATTGGGATTTTCTAGATTAGAACTTAGAAACAATAAAATATTTTGAAGGAATGAAACATACTATAGGAGAGTATTGTATTTAGTATTTGCATATTACAACTCTCTTCTGCCTTGGCTTAAGCTTCACCTCAAACCAAACTTTTAACATCAATTAAAAAGTTACAAATCATTTCCCTTGATTAGACTAGATGCAAACCGCACGAGATGCACTATATAATAAGGCATACGATTCAATGAAAGATCAAACATCCTCTCTTAACGCAAACGGCTATATAAACAGGCAACAAATAACGAGTAGACAATAAAGCCTTTTATAATTAAATTATGAAAATACTTTATAATATAACATGAAAAAAAAATTTTCAATATCAAAACTGAAAATGTAAGTAAAAATAAACCCTTTAGAACCAAAAATACAGAAATCAAAATAAACCCTTTATTTATATGGAACACATACAAAACATTAGTTCCTTATTTACAGTACAATAACAACGCCCTCAAATGTAATACAATATATAGGTCGCAAAATAAAATATAAAACCTTTAATAGAATGAAAAACATAATTTAAAATAAACATTAAGTTGGAGGTGGAAAACACATCACGAAGTATAACATTTAAAAGATGGGGAAGCAACTTCTGGCTGTTTGAACGGTTAATAGATAAATATCATTAAACTTGATAAGCAATATGTAAGTACACAGCGTGGTCACAAGTAAACAGACACCACCTTTTCAG